AAGGGCAAATTGCGCAATTTGTTGTTTCACACAGACGGTCATACAGGCGGTTACGAACTAATTGACGACGTAGAGTAGCCTGTGGTATTTCAACTATCGCTACCGATTCCTCTAGACCTGCCCTTCTTAAGCATCGCTTTATAGCTGCGCTTACTTCATCGCTTATAAAAGGCAACATGAACGGGACTTTCTTTTGGCCAAGTGTTTCGCGTGGGCGCGTCGTTCTCCTTGTACTCTTATCTCGTGGGGTTACTATTTCGTAGCCATTGGAGATGGCTATTTGCCGAGCCAAATCGCGCGATGCTTCCCTTAGTTCCCTGGTTGTGCACACAGAGGTGGCTGTTCGAAACATGTTTCTCACAATCGCCCTTTTTGTGTGTGAAGGGTGGGAAGAAAGGAAATGAACAAGGATGTTCTTGTTACTTGGCTTTTGGTACCCCTTTGTCAAGTAACCGATACTTGATAGGTTTATTTGGACGTTACGCCCTTACGGCAGGGACGGTGATTGCGTGAGTTCAGGTACGATATACCTGATCTCTTGTAATAATTGCGGAGATGAATATATTGGCGAAACGGGCAGAGCTTTGTGTATCCGTATAAAAGGACACCTAGATGGCAAACGAAAACTAAGACGAAGCACCCCACTAGGCACGCACAGGATACAAAAGCATAGCGGAGACGGTTTTGAAGTAAAAGTCAATATCCTTGCACAGGGGATTAAAACACCAGAGCGAAAACTTCTTACGGCTTTTTGGATAAATGCCAAGAACGCTACAATGAATAGCAGGGATGAATGTCCGGAGGTCATACGCGACCTGACCCCGCATGTTCGAATCGATTTTTGATGTGGGATGGTGCAGTCGTCAACCACATGCGACTATAATCAGCTGTTCTAAACTTCCTCATTGGAAGTCACGAAAAAGCGGTGGGTTTTTCGAGAAGCTGTTGATCATGTAATTACCAGAGAGTCTTTCGTCTTTTTGTAAGTGTTATTGAAGCGTTTGGCCCAGTAGATTGTATACCAGTATACCCCTCCAGGCTTTGAAGAAGACGATACTGCCAAAACTTCAGCTGGTGTTGTATTGCATTGTGTTTCTCTGTGGAAGTAAATGTATGCTGTTTAAAAATCTCGCGATTGTTGAACAAGAAAACGACGCATTCATTTCACTAACTTTTTTTAGCGCCCTATTATGGTGAAAATCGGCAAAAATTTTTACCATTTGAACAAACGAAGGTATGTAGATGAACAGAATAGTTAGTTTAATAACATTCCCAGACGGTGCTCGATGAATCAGCACGTAGTAACGAAAGTAGAACGACAACAGCATACTGTAGAGCGAATGGGCATAGAGATGAAGAAGGACGCTGTAGCTGAAAAGCACGGCTTCATTTTTCTTTTCGGGATAACCCTTTTGAGGGTAGCAATTTAATGATGGACGAGAAACCAAGTAACTTGGTTGAAGTGCAATCAATAATTCAAGATAAAGTGGTATTCGTTTGGATAAGCCGCAACGCACAGTGCCTGAGGGCTATTCCCACTCCACCATTAACTGGAAGATGTGAAAAATCCAATGATTTCTATAAAGAATAAGATGTGGCAAAATCGGTATTCCAGCAATCTGCTTTCCTGAGAATGTTGCCAGAGCTGTGGTTATGACCACTTTTAAACAAAGCCTATTCTCTATCGATTCGCCGTAGTTGGAATGTGAAGAATTTGGAGGATTTAGAATCACAAAAACTCGTAACTGGCGTAAAAATATTTGTGGGGCTTCCTAAAACAAATGCAGATGTTTTCTTGATGAGAAAACACGAGGTTGTTATTCTATTCTATTTTTATTGACAAACAAGCTGACGTCTCGGCGGATTGTGCCTTCTTCAAATCCTAGAAAACGTCGAGTTGACTGCAGTCTAGCCAGCCAAACACTTCTATAACCAAAGCAGAAAAAGCACTAAACCAAGATTTTAATCGCACTGGAAGCAAAATAGTTTTTCGCACACTCACCGTTTTTTATGAGTTTTCCGCTGAGTAATTCACATAGAAACCAATAATACAGAGCCCTCTTACATTAAAATTTCAGTCTTAATACTCTGCTAGACCACCCCTTATAACGAGGCATTCCTCCCTGCCATTTATTCTTAGGTTCTTGGAATTTATCCAGAATAGGAATGCTTCGAGAGGTTTGCGCGCTGAAGTTTTCGTTCCATGTCCAGAGGTTATAACTTCTACTTCAAAATCATTCCCGTTATGGTTCTGTATCCAATGCGTGTCTAGTGGAGTATTTGGTTTAACTTTACACTTACAAAGTCAAAAGACCGGCTTTTTATAAACCTCGGCGTGAGTAATCAATATATTTATTTAAATGTTCTTATGAACTCATCTTGTTGAGCTGATGCAAGGTTGGTATAGTTGGCGTTGTTGTTATTGCTTTTGTTGTTGGTCGATGGCTGACGTTTCAGCGATTTCGCCTTTCTCAGATCCGTGCCATTACGAGTGGGATTCCTACTGGGAAGTGGGAGGCGAGATTCTGAAGAAGGCCAAATCGTCGAAACGTCAGCCATTGACCAACAACAATAGCGTCAAGTATACCAGTCTCGCATCAGCTCCACAAGATCAGTTCATACGAATATATGACAAATTTATACTTACCGTCGTCTAGGTGCACTTTCACAACGACCCAAGGAGGTCCACCTGTCTCGCCCATGTATTGGTCCCCTCACGCCTTACAATCAGATAAGCCGTACCCGAATTCATGCAATCATCGTCTCAACCGCTTGGGCATATTATGCAACTTTACGTTGTACATAGACCGTCATGTTCGTGGTTGCGATATTGGTGGCGTCTTAAAGTGTTCGGTGGTGCTCCAATCACTGCTACCGAATTCTCTGGACCGGACTTTTGAGCAACGTTTCTTTGCTGCACTTGTTTCCTTGGAAGTGAAGGGCAGCAGAAACAGGACCTTATCCTCCCTAGTTGTCGCGTAAATTATAGTGCATTTGCAAGAAACACGTTTCCAACAGCCATCAGCTTATGCCTAGGAAGACAACTGAATGAAGGATCTTGGAAATCTGCGCGGCAAACAGCATTTTTCAATGGCTACGAAACTGTAGCTCCTTGGCATAGGTGTAGAGGAGAAATCACTCCCCAAGCGATAATTCCTGTGGTAATAAAGTTCTGCTTAATCCACCTTTCATTTCCAACGAAATAAATACAGCTATAAAACGTTGTTTAAAAACAGAAAATTCGGTGGAAACGACTGAAATACTACTGAGCACTCTAAGACACTAGCTAGTTTGTAACCGTTTGTATGACCGGCTATGTACAACGCAGAACTGCGCAATACGCCCTAACGGTAGTGACGGTGATTGCATGAGTTCGGGTACGGTTTATCTCATTTCTTGTAAGGCCTATGGAACGGACAAATTGGAGAAACGGGTAGACCACTCTGCGTCCGTGTACAGGAGCACCCTAGTCGGTAAACTTAAATTTAAACAATTTAAACCAAATACTCCACTAAGCGCACACAGAACACACAGACATAACGGGGAAGATTTCGAAGCAGAAGTTATCATCTTCACGTGGGAATCGAAAACACAAGCGCGCAAAACCCTCTAGGCATTCTGGATTAATTCCACGGATCCGAAAATGAATTCCAAGGAGGAATATATCATAATCACGCGTGATCTCACACAATATTTAACACTGTTATTTTAATGTGAGATGCAAATTACGCTTCCATGTAAACTCTGTGCGATTGGTCTCCAGTTGAAGTATTCAGTGGAAAACTCATAGAAAGTGGCGAGTGTAGTGTGCAAAGAAGCTATTTTGTTCTCACTGTGACTGAAATCTTAGTTTCGTGTTTTATCTGCTTTAGTTACGGAGCTATTTGGCTAGGTAGATTTCGGTCAACTCGACCTTTCCAGGCTCTAAGGAAGGCGAAATCCGCTAAACATCAGCTTTGTTCGTAAATAAGAAATACAATAACACTTAGTGTTTGCTCAACGAGAATATAATGAATTGTTCGATCATCCACGGAAACGCCAGCTTTTCCGTAAATAAGGAATAAATTAACGCCTTGTGCCTATCGAGGACACAATGAAATAAATCGATCAACGCCGAGGTTGACAGAAAATCGACCTTAGGGATTACCGCAACATGTATAGGTGTTTACATGTTTTTCTCCTGCTTCCAGAAATTTGCAAGGTAATCCAACAAGAGGTTCTCTAAGATGTTTTCTTCTATTACATTCAATGGTCAGTAGTAACAGCATCTCACTACAAATGTCAACTTTCGCAGTTTTCTTTTCCAAAACTAGAGGGACACAAATTTTTTCCGTACTTTCAATCCTGGCATATACGACAATCTGCACTATTTGGACATTACAATTGAAACCAGCTCATGGAAATGGCGAAAATCTTCAAAACCGTTTCTTGCTATAATACTGAGATATTTGCAAAACTCCGAACCGCAGTTGCTTGCGATGGGAACGAGTGCGCTATTGTCCTTTCCAGGGAGTAGCGCGTTCACCACTACAGCATGCGGACCCTTATTTCGCCTGTCTCTCAGTTATAGTTCTATCGATCTTTTTGCCATCAGCAATCAACCCGTCAACGGGATTGATCTGTGGAGCCCAAATAGGCATTGAACCCAGTTAAGCTATGCTATAGTTATAATCACAATCCTAACCTTTTTTACTTTAAAAAAGGTTAAGACTGTTTTTTGCATTCAAATAAAACGAGAAAAAGTGACGAGAACGTAGAGGTGTGAAAGTTAGGCAACTAACCTGATATAGCAGAAGCGAGCGCCGAAGTACTGACAGAAGCCTTCGGAAAAGTAGAATAAGGATTTTCCAGCGGGAATGATTCTGAAGACAAAGCAAAACAAGTCCGAGTTGGCAAGATTTTTCATGACTTTCGCGCTAAAACAATTCGCTTCAAAAAATATTTGCCTTCTCCTGTCAATTATCGGGGAATAACAGTAGGTGCCAGTGAACAGCTATTCCCATGGCGTACAAGAACTGCTTACTGAACCCCAGCGCTTTGATTCACACAAAAGGAGTCATACTTTTGTGAGAATCTTCATTTCTACTACTTTTATCATGAAATTTGCCCCGGTTGCCCACCAAGTTTTGTTAAAGTATAGATTTACTCTTAGGTCGACTTCTGCTCGAAATACCAAACGTCTCGGTTTGGATGATCCTGCTGAGGTAAGAACACCGTTCACAAATTATAATCTGAAACACTCCCCACTCACGAATTTGCGATTAAGTATTGGTGAGGGGATGGGTAAGAATGAACTACGAACCTACTAGTGACCTGTTAGCAATATATAGGCCACAGCTATGCAAAAAAAAGAATTCCGTTTTTTTAACGCACATATCTATTTCATCTACCAGTCTTTTAGTGCACATATCTATCTCACAGAGGCATTTGTAGCGCAGCTGTTAGAGGTGTTCTGCAACACAAGTGGATTCAATCCCGCGCCCCAAGATTACCAAACCTCCCATCCTGTTGTAGTTGGAAAATTGATGCCAGATCTGTGTAGGAGGATATCAGCACTGTCTTGATACATCGGTAGGTCACCATGAGTCATTGCATAGACCAGATATGCATCTATCACCTTTAACTCTGATTGATGAGATCAAGTGCATGGGTCGTCCTTTAAAGATTGATCAACGCCAATAGCTTTATCTTTTATTCTTTGGCTTATCTCATGGTCCGTCACTGAGGGGTAACCAGCCCGTTATTCGCGCACACCGCTATTAGCAAAACAGACGAAAAAAAAGAACGACCTGCTCTTATTTAACATTTCGGAGTCGCAAAGTGAAGCTTGTGTCCGGAAACATACGAGCTAGTACGCCAATGTGGAATCTCCTCTATGGTTAACGTTTGGGTGGTTTCGCTTTGATCAGAGCTAGGATAGTTCCAGTCAGGTTTCTAGAGCAGCTATTTCTTCTTCCATTGTTTTTCTTCATTGCCGTCGCACTGGTATGGAGCACCGCACGAATGGAGTAGAGCCCCTAGCGCTATTCTTTTATACAAATCTCTAGCGGAGCTGAAGTAACCTCACCTCACGGAGCAGTTCCATGGGTTACAGGATGGACGACCAAAATTATTTGCTTCGTTAGTGATAATCCATCCTGCAGTAGTCGGATTAGTATTGGCTGGTATATATCAAAGCACAAATTTAATTCCAACTATCACTGAACCTCGGTATGGATATTCAACAATCCTGTTAATTTTTTTGAATACTAAGGTTCAATGAAAGTCAGAATTGAATTTTTGCTTTACTATATGTCAAATAACACTGAACTCTATAATAAAAGGGCAGAGATGGAGAGCAGGAGGCGCTACATCATTCGTGCTTCTACTTTGTTCGATCTCTCCATGAGACGGCAACGAAGACCAACAACGCAAGAACGAACAAATGCTGCGTGCACTGCATTCAAATTATCGTGGTTCTCATGAAAGAGAAGGCGTCGAAAAGTTAACCATAAGAAGCTTTATAACAAACTCGTGCAAGCTCATCAATAGACGAAATATCGATTTTCACTCTGATGTTCACAGTACCCATGTCATTTTTGTATACGAAAAAAGGAAAAGGTTATGTCACCCCATTAGTTTTTCGTTCCGAAATCCGACATGTTGTCTTGTAGGTGAAGAACTAGTCTGGTCTAGACAAGACAAGAGGCGAACATCTGAAACTTCGTCAGTCTTCATCAGCATAGTAGCTCGTTCATCTCAGGTTATTTGTTATAATGCAAAGTTTTGTTCAATGGAAGATAAACAAGTCTGCGTTGTTGTACAAAAAGGGAGACGTCTACGATATTGGCAACTATCGCTCAATCTGCTTGTTACCTGTCATCTATAAACCCCTCACTTGCTTCGTGCTAAACAAGATTGACAGAACACTGAATGAAGGTCAGCCATGTAAGCAAACAGCGTTTCGAAAAGGATTCAGTTCGATGGGCCACATCCACGCGATGACAGATCTCATCAAAGTATCGCGAAAGTTCAAGAGACCGTTCTGCCTCACCTTGATCAATTTAAGGAAACCTTTCCACTCAGTTGAGAAAGCAGTCAGTCATAGAAGCCTTGCACAGCCAGTTTATTTCTACCCAGCATGGAAAGATTCTTCGTCAGCAAAATAAAAATTTCACAAATAAAATATCATAATTCTGTAACGATGTTAACATCAACGTCAAAGAGGAGTAGGGGAAGTGATACCATCCCGCCAAAATTATTTACTGCTACCCCCCAGAACGTCGTTCGAACAAGGGAAGGGAACGAATGGAAGTGAAAATCAAAATCACACCATTTCCGCTTTGCTGATGACATCGTTCTTATAACACCAAGCATTAGCCAGGCGGAACGAATGCTCGTCGACTTTGATAATCCTTGTAAGAAGATTGATCCTCAACTAAATTTCACGAAAACGATGTTATCGAGGTGTGGATGGGCTTCGTATGACCCATTCATGCTCAGGGGAATGAATGTCTCGGAATGCTCCAACACGTCTACCTAGTCGGGAAGTCAATATCACGAACGACTCCGACTCCGAATTGAACAGCAGGAAGTGAACGGCTTAGAGAACTTTCAAGATCGAGTATTAATTTCATTGATCGACTTTCTGTTAACCTCGACAACGACCAACTAATTCTCGATATTCTTGTTGCACTCGAGATTCTCCTTTATTCTTTATTCTGGTAAAGCCGACGTTTCAGCAGAATCGCCTTCTTCAGAGCCTGGGAGGGTATATTAAAATGGAATTTACTAAGCAAAACGCTTCGATAACGCATACAGAAAAATAGAAATCTAAATGGCAATCACAAGATGAATAGTTTCTCGTAAAACCCATCGCTTTTTATGTGCCTTCCACAGAGGAAGAACAGCTGCTTAGAGTGGCATATGGTTGATGAGTGCACCCACCCCACAATGCGATCTCTAGACATTCCTCCCTGCTATTCACTCTAGGGTTCTTGGCATTTATCCAATAAGCCCAAAGAATTTTGCGCGTTGGTGTTTTGGCATCCTTTGCGAGGATAGTGGCTTTTAGAACAAAATCGTCTCCACTATGCTTTTCTATCCCATGCGTCCCTAGTGGAGTGCTTTGTCTTGCCTTTCGTTTGCCATCTAGGTGTTCTTTTATGCAGATACATAATGGTCTACCCATCTCGCCAATGTATTCATCTCCGCAAGTATTACAAGGGATCAAGTATGTCGTACCTGAGCTCATCCACTCACCGTCCCTGCCATAAGTCAAATTACGCAGCAGTACTCTGTTTTTTCACATACACGGTCATCTAGGTGGTTACGAACTAGATGACTACGAAGAGTATCTAGCGGTATTTCAACTACTGCTATCGATTCCTCTAGACCTGCACTTTTTAAGCATCGTTTTATAGCTACACTTATTTCGTCGCTAATAAAGAGCAACATAAATGGGATCTCGTTTTCGCCAGCGTTGACCACGTATTGAGCAGAACAAAAAACACGCACACCGTGCCCATCCTTTGAACCCGACAATTCTTCCTGTTATAACGTACGCGTTCGAAACCTGGGTGCAACGTAGACAGGATTAGAGATCACTCAGCGTTATCGAATCATGAAAGTGAAAGGGAATCTAAATCTGCTACCCACGACAATGATGAAAGATCGGAGATGCTGCTGTGCACACCAAAATGTCGAAAACCAGGTGAGCCGGACACGTACTGTGTTTGAACGACAACCGGTGAAAAAGAACCAGAGCCATTAACCATAGGACTCTCTATGATGTCAAAGCTACAGTGGGAAGAACACCGACCCGATGGGCAGAATTCATCATAAAGATTCTAGAAGAAAGGTATGATTGTAAGCGATTCCCTAGTACGAGCAAGTCCTACTGGTACACTAATTCACACAACATAAACGTAAAGCTTACAAGCAGCAGCTTAAGTCACTCGACGATCAACGAGACGATAGTGATTCAAGTGGTCTATCTCCTAACGAAGTATTAATTAAAATAAAACTCATTAGAATCTAAATGAAGCTGTTTCTTATGCGAATGCAAATTCATTTGTTAAGTTTTATCTGCTGGGGTTATGAAGGCGTTTGGCTGGGTAGATCGCATCTCAATTTGAACTTTCCAGACTGAAGAAGTCGAAACCGCCGAAACGTCAGCTATTGTATCCTAATAAATCCTATAATAACAACTTCGTGTCTGCTTATTGAAGAAAACATTGTATTAGAATCTACACAGCTGTACAACGAGAGACACGTTTAGTTATTCAATCGCCGTGAGAAGTAGCTTTTTGGAACCCAAGAGCCTCTTTTGGAACCCTTCCGATTATTACATTATAACATTGGGGCCCAAGAGTCGTTCTTCTCTCGCTATTTGCCATCGAGTCCCGAATCCGCAACTGTGAGTGCTCGTTGACGTTGGCGTTTGCTTCACTCGAGTTTGAAATTGCAAAAATTATCTTGTTACCATCCTTATTGGCGTAAATTCCAATTTCTTAGTTAAAACCATTGTAACGAAGGACTAAATATCTATGTAAACCTAAGAAAGAGAAAGTTAAGCCCGCCAAGAAAAGAAAGAAAGAAAGAAAAAAAGAAAGAAAGAAAGAAAGAAAGAAAGAAAGAAAGAAAGAGAAAGAAAGAAAGAAAGAAAGAAAGAGAAAGAAAGAATGAAAGAAAAAAGGAAGGAAGTCACTGAAATAGTTATTTGCTTATTCATTTTCATGGCACATATTGCTTGAGCCGTAGCATTTCATTCATTCAATTTGTTTCCTCACATCCATCATTCATGAAGGCCTTCGGATTTGCATGAGGAATCGAGTGCCACTTGGAGATTTTCTCACCTTCATGAATGTAATTGAATACTGATCGATGCTATTGTATCCTACTAAATTCTATAATTTCTCTTGGAATTCGTGGGATAACTATTAAATCATTCTCAAGTCTTCACCACAAACACTCGACCGCCTTTATGGATCGAAGAGACGTGCCCATTCGCGGAGAAGTGTAACGCAAATATACCCAGATTTTTTTTTTACTACGTAGAGATGGGGGCTCGGTCTGCCAAGGAAGGATCGATACCATGACCACGCATATACAGCACAACATCTCTAGCCACTGCGTTTCGAACCGATTATAACATTATGCAGCTAAGCAAATATGTGAAGATATCAGAAAAGCCTGACATAGCACATTGCAAAGTGTTATTCTGCATACTGAAACAGAGAAGGACAAAAACTAAGGACAAAAACTCGTAACGCTTTTTAATTTGCAATGGATTTCTCGAGGTCAAAGAAAAATGAGAGCTTAAGAAATTCGGCATTTAGAGCTTCAGAGTGGCAGAACTTGAAGGAAAAAATTCTTAGAAGAGGTGGGACAGAACTTTGTGAAGTTTGGGACATAAAAAGGTACTCACCTTTGACATACCGCCAGTGACGAGAGACATGCAAGAAAGTCACAAACGGCAAAGTTTATTATCAGCAACGAGTACTTTCGAATGGCAAGAGGACTGTAGTAGCGAGCGATCACGAATAGAACACCGTTCAGCACCAAACCGCAGACGTTCGGGAGAATATGCAATAATAAAATAAACGTGTTCCACATATTTAGGTGGTTTCTGGCAGGAAACTGCTATCGGGAGCACTCAACGCTCTCGCTCGCTGACATTTTGCGCCATCAAGACGAACAAGTAGTGAGAATGAGCCACGAGAGTTTCCTAAAAGAACAGCAGAGCTCAAATATTTCGAAAACCGACGACAAGATAGAACGAGAACTGGCTGTGGAAATAAGACGAAAGATGAAACCTGATGAGAAAATTGAAAAGCTACGGCACGACACGGCAAGTTACATGTGCCGAAGAAGGCTCGGAAAGAACCATTGATGTTTGGAGGTGAAAAGAACTACTTCATTACTCGTATACAAAAAGCTTTATTGTGAGCTTAAAACTCCGGAAATAAGTAGTTTATACAGTATTTTTTTCAAACCGGCCATCATGCACCCTCAGTAGTTATAACCTATACCTTATTGGGTTGTTAAGCTAAGATGAGGTTAAGTTTATTGCACTAACGTTTCGACGTCTCCGTCTTCAAAACATCATCGGATGGTCATTATCAACAACAACCGCTCTATATAAAAGAGCATCAGAGGGTGGGATTACTTCATTTGAGCGGTTCGCCGTTGAAGAAGATCTGACTCAATACGACGACAGAGACATCGAGACTACGAAGGACTGTGGACATCGACTCGGATCACCGCTTCTGAAGAAAGTGAAGTCGTCGAAACGTTAGGCCAATAAATATTTGGTAATAACGTCGTGTTAGCTTAACAACCTATGAGCGTTTATACAGTCTCTGTGAGAAGGACAAATGTCTGAATAATTAATGACGCGCCTTTTGACGAATAAATCTCTATTTATTTATGTGATCTTATAAACTGATCTTCTTAAGCTGACGCGAGGTTGGTACATGTCTTCGTTGTCGTCGTCGTTGTTTTTGATGTTATTGATCGATGGCTGACGTTTCGGCGACTTCGCCTTCCTCAGAACCGTGATGTTACGTGCAGGACTCTATCTATGCCGATGTTTATAGAAAGTCGGTCTTTCGAGTTATTAAGAATACTTTAATTATTCGGTGGAAAAAAAGGATAAAGTATTCATGAAGATCAAACTTTTAAATAGATGGTGGGTTAGGACGCTACGTTCAAATGCAGTTTTACGCCATATGGACCGGAAAAACTACTCACCGTGATGTTACGAATGAGACTGGCTCACGCATTGTTCATATGGGGTCGCGTGCGAGACACACCCCTGGGTTAAAATATCATTTTGAAATGGGGCGCCAGGTCACGTATGATAGTGAGGCATTCGCCTTTCCGGTTCATCTTTGGATTTTTGAAATTTATTCAAAACGCCTCAAGAGTTCAAGTTTGATCTTCATTAATACCTTAGCCTTTTTCCACCGAATAATTAAAGTATTCTTATATAAAATACGTCAGGCTCTGAGGAAGGCGAAATCGCCGAAACGTCAGACATCGACCAACAACACCAACAACAACGACAACGACAACGAAGGCCTATACCAACCTCGCATCAGCTAAAGAAGATCAGTTTATAAGATCACATAAATAAATATCTCAGCATTATACACGAGTTATATTTCGCAACATACCCTGCCATTAAAAAGAAAAAGGCAGTAAATAAAAGGGTTAAGATTATATCAACTATCTATGCCGAAGTTTATAGAAAGTCGGTCTTTTGAATAATTCTCTGGCAATGAGAACTACTGCGATTATTAATACATTCACGACCACGCTAGACTTGGCTGAGGACAAGGAACCGTGAACTCGTCCGCGATTAAAAGCGGCAAGGCCAGTTTTATCGACATTGGTAAGCTTTCCATAGCTAGAGGACTTATGGGGTGAGAACATCAAAAAGATCTAAAAGAGGCACCTACTCATCTATAGATGTAGTACTGCATTTTTCACCAACGTTTACCTGTTAAACATTGCGGTGTCAGACTTTGGAAGTATTTTCTTTTTACTTATGGCGAATGTATTATTTCTTCACTAAACTGGCACTCACTTAATGTTGGCGTGACATATTTCTTGATAGCTTTTCCTCGTGATTTCTTTAGATTCTTCAGACTCATCCGTGGAATCAAAGACGTCGAAGCTTCAGCCGAATAAAAGTTTGACAACTGAACCATCTAAAGAAAATTCTCGAATCCACCCATCCCATGCAATAGCTAAGACACATAATAAAAAATGAATACAAGAAATATTAAATTGGTTACAAGGTTGCTGAGATATTTGCAAAACTCTGGAACGCTGGTGTCTAAGGTGGGGAACGAACGCGCTATTGTCCTTTCCGTGGAGTAACGCGTTCACCACCATACCATGCGGGTCCTTCGTTTCGCCTCTTAGTTAGTTTTATCGATCAGCACCATCAGCAATCACTCCTCAACGGGATTGATCTGGAGAGCCCACATCGGCATTGAACCTAGTTAAGCTGAGGCTGTAGTTGAAATCACGATATTTTACCATTTATTTTCTGCCTACTACAATTTTAGCTGAGATACAGGGGAAACGACGGACCCGCATGGTGTGGTAGTGAAGGCGTTATTCCCGGAAAGGACAATATCGCGTTCGTTCCCCACCTTAGACACCAGCGGTCCAGAGTTTTGGAAATATCTCAGCAACGTTGTGGCTGTATATCGCTTAATACCCTGCCGTGAAAATTGTAGTAGGCAGAAAATAAAAAGTAGAACATTAAATTGATTGTTTAAAGTTTATATGCTTGGTTGGTATGGTGGATAGTATGTGAGCACCCGGCAAGGATAATCGGATGTTCCAAGCCCAGCCGTGGTTTCGAGTTTTCTCATATCTCAGCATCACTGTGGTTGAATTCCAAACTGTACCCTGAGCCATGAAAAAGAACAGGCAGCAAATAGAAGTCGTGTCATTGTGTCTCCTCATTTTTCCCGGTAACTAGAGAATTCACGAAGTTCAATACTTCGCATGCTTCTACAGAAAGTTTTGCTCCATCACTCCAAAAAAGTGATAGTTTTTCTGAAGAGCAATTTTAGTTTTAGCTCAATTGGACTTGAACATTTCAAAATTATTTAAATTTTTTCGTGGTAAGACTTTTATGATTTTGTGATGATCTCTAGATTATGACATTTTTTTATTTCAATTGGTAAAGTCTACCAGCAGCTGAGATAATTCGGTTGAAAGGTCAAACTGCTCTCGAATACGCATGAATTCCAGGAGCAGTCAATAGGTATAGAAGCTGGCGACATTAATGAATTGACGGAATTTCCCGCAACTTTTATCGCAAAAGTAGGAATCACTATCCTAGTAATATTGGCGAATGTTCAAAAAGATCTGTGTATACAAACCTTTTCGCTGTGTGGTTATCGCCAGCCTATAGTGTCTCCGTCGACTCTCGCTCTTCTTCACCCACGTATATCTTGAGACCAAGGGCTGTCCTCTTTACAATTTCATGGGCTCGAATTAATTTTGACGGTCAAGGATCTGACATTATGTCTTTAACTCATGTCAGCTGAAGACGCCAAAGAAGTTGACGGTCGGTTGTTATGCGATATAGTGTCACACATCCTTTTACTCCTCGAAGGAGGTGGAACTGCTTTGAATACACATATGGAAATCGATGGATGGAAATGTAAGATTTTAATGAATCGTTTATGACTGAAAATTGGGAGTTAGTCGTGAACGGAGCAAACGGATATGCTGAGATGAATGGCGTGTCGTGGGAAGCGACAAGTGTTGACGAGTTGAGAAGATTCTATGTTCACTTTCGTAAGATGGCATTGTTTAAGTACCAGGTCTGAGAATTATTTTGAAACAAAAACTATTAGAATATGAATTCCGTTTTTGTATGTCATCCTACTGCAGCTCCTGTCATGACGAAAAGAAGGTTTGAAAGTGTCTCGGGAAACCTTCACTTTGTCGACAATACGAGTAACAGAAAAGAAATTTTGCAAAGAATTCAGGCGTTAATCCACCTCTACCCGAATATGAGATGCGACACAATATTGAGAACTGAATGTATCTAGAGGTACAGTCGTCTTCCGTCACTATATCCTACATAAAACGCCAAAATACGGGCTCAAGTTATTTAAGCTGTGCACGACACCATCTGGAAACACCTGGAGATTTGAAATATTTGCAAAACTCCAGAACGCAGGTGTATGCGGTGGGGAACGAACGCGCTGTTGTCCTTTCCGGGGAGTAGCGCGTTCACCACCACACCACGCCGGTCCTTCGTTTCGCCTGTCTCTCAGCTAGTTCTATCGATCTTTTGCCATCAACAATCACCCGTCAGCGGGATTGATCTGGGGGCTTAAATCGGCAACGAACCCAGTTAAGCTGAGGCCGCAGTTATAATCACAATTTAACGTATTATTTGCTGCCTACTAAATTGTGATTATAACTGCGGCCTGGGTTCATTGCCGATTTGGGCCCCCAGATCAATCCCGCTGACGGGTGATTATTGATGGCAAAAGATCGATAGCACTAGCTGAGACAGGCGAAACGAAGGACCTGCGTGGTGTGGTCGTGAACGCGTTACTCCCCGGAAAGGACAATAGCGCGTTCGTTCCCCACCGCAAGCAACTGCGGTCCGGAGTTTTGCAAATATCTCAGCATCATTGAAGTTATATTTCACAATGTATACCCTGCCGTTAAAAAGAGTAGGCAGTAAATAATACGTTAAATTGTGATTACATCTGGAGATTATTGGTATCTACTGCGAGCGACCACGGATCCCTCTCACATGAGGGATCTCGAACCGGTTAGACGCGAGGATAGCTGGCGCGTCCCCAGGTGGCGGATAGGGGGTAAATCGCGGACCAATAGAGACCTTTGCTCCCCTGAGACGCAGGTAAATCCAGGGATGGACTCCCTGCTGCGCCGATTTGGCACATACTTTCTGCATGTGCTAAGCGTATTCATGCATGCGTGTGTGGGTGCGTTCTCGCTTATGCGGATTGTATTCTACGAGTCAGTTCGGCTAAAAAGCCGCAATCAAGTGACAGGGAAGTATATGGGAGACGGTTAGGAGCCGCCTCCAACAAAAAAGCTCCATGTTCACTCTGAAGATCTACGAATTTGGGTGTATATTTAGCTACCATTTGAGAGTTTCTGCACTTCTTCGTGAATGGCCTTCAAGGCTGCTCTGGCCAATTCTTCCTGGAATCCTATGATATCCATGGTTGTTGTTCCGAAGTTTCGCTACAGGCACTCGCCAGCCTTTTGCAGCCGCCAACCAGACATTGAGTAGATTAGTGCACGTAACTTCTGAACACTGCTCTTCCCACGTTCGTAATCAATCATATTGGCCACACAGGCGGATGGAAAACGATGAAGATTAAACGTCTTTTAAGTGAATATTAAGAAAGCTGATAGCACAGTGGTAGTGATGTCCTTCATCACAAGCATGGTGCTAGTTCGACTCCGCTACAGACTAATCTAGCTTTTCATGCTTCCTGGATCAGGGAATTGGTACCAGACTTGTCTGGGAAAAAAATCACTCTCTGCAATCCAAAGGGTGAATTGTTCGACCGGCATTCTACGACATTCAAGATGAAATGAAAATCCTCAAACAGCAACCGAAGCCACGCGTAAAAGTTGGAAGATCTTCATGGACAATGGATGCGAGGAAACGAATCGAATGTGAGAAGTGCTAGGATCCGTACGGTAGACGTGAAGACGGATCAAATAAAATAAAACAAAAAATATTATAAAATGAAATAAAAAAAATATTTATTTTAATTTACTCATTATTGTCAGGCAATTTGTAGGGCAAATGGTACTTAAATATGGATACATACTGTTTGTAAATTGTAGAGTGTGAGATGAACATAAATCAAAAGCTAATAAGACTTGATAAACATTTCGAAATACGGAGCGCATTGAAGCACGGCAATGGACTCATGCTGTGTGACCATCATTCTAAAGAAGTCTTCATAGTGATTTATCACCTTTTCATAGCAAAAAGCCGTCCTTAGCGCTCAATTTCAACGTCTAGGCGGAAACATTTCTGCACTTCTTCACCGTCCATAATCGCTATGCTATGTACTATCTTGGAAACCTATGCTCTCTCTCCGCACAATAAACTCGTCCAACAGGAGGTTTTTTGTAATTTATTGAGTATACAGTGCAGATTTCCATGAGCTATGCCTAACTCTGTTAAACAAGCTATCGAAGGAATAGAAAAGATGCGGTGAAAAACAACTGTGAAGTTCTAAAGAGCTGTAGATACATTTCAGTACATGTGGTTCAATAAGTGTTAATCGTGCGAGAACCCTGGTACACAGAAGACGAGTTACAGAGATCGGCAATCTTCGGATAGAGAAGCAACGCACTGGCAGCGCCGATATGAATGAAAGAAATACAGGCTGCTTCAAAATGGGCCTCCCACCTCGCAATCATTCACGAACAAGAATCGACGCAATGAAGTCAAGTCGATAACGAACAGAAGCCATCGAACCGCTATAGAACAACTATAACACAAACGAGCGTAACGTCGGTGTTGACGTTTTGCACCTCTTGTCTTTTCCATCGTCGTAGACACAGATTACTATGGTCTTAACAAAATTTGTATTTCCACATTCTTTGATCAAACAGAGAATAAGGAAATAAGATGTTTCTTCTAAGTAAACTGTTCTGCGATCACCAAATTCTCCTATGTAGAATCTTCAAAAGTAGAAAACACTAAAACTGAGATCAAGGTGCGAGAGGAGTAGCGTAGTGGTTAGTGATGCAATCGATCAAGAAGCAAAGGTGCTAGTTCGACCCCTTGCCACCGCTCTCCTCCAATCCACGCAAGAACTCCTCAACTTGGTTCTCTCAAAAGTTTCAAGAAGATTCGACTCGGATGGTATTTAAGATATTCATAAGGAAGGCGAAATCCTCAAAGAGTAGCTGAAACAACATGCGAAATGTTAGAAGACCATTGTGGACGATGAATGCGAGGAAAACGAGTCGAACGCAGGAAGTGCTGGGATTGGCACAGTAGATGTGATTACGGGTTATGTAAAAACGTATTAAAAAATGGGATCAACACAAAATTTCTTGGACAAGATTTCAAGGGATGAAAATCATAGTAAGTATCAATCGCGTGAGAAACTGGCAGAAGTGACCACTTATCCCCGTGGATCTAAGCGCAGATACAATCTTTTATAAA